GTGCGTGGACCATGAGAGTGTCTTGATAGCCTTCTATGGAGCACCGATAGAACACAGAGAGATCGGAGGCTGATCGGAGTGCCACTGCTTGACCCTTTAGAGGACCCGCCGTGTTTCTGAAGGTAATGTCTCTTGCAATGAAGTGAAGACCATCAACTCCTGAAATTTTATAACAATTCACTTTCTTTAATTTCAAAAAGTTTTACTATTAAAATACTTGTAACATAAATAAAAGCTCAATCAATGCTTAAATCGCAAGCATTTCTCCATGCCGAAAGCTACACGCATCACTCACTCTATGTACAATATATATGTTTATTTCAAGCTATCATTTTATCTTCGTATACAAGTTCAAGTATTGTTCATCAGATGAAACAAACCACACAGAATTCACACTACAAAAAATAAGATCTGCATATAGATTTGAATAAGAATCCTTGAATATTTGAAAAGGGAAAGCCTGAAATTCAGTTGAATTCAAGAGATAATGAAATAGATCACAGGAAAAGAAAAAAGCTGAATATTTGAGAACAGTGACCTGCTGTTGCGGAGCTATAGGTGGTATAGCCGGCATTGACGCTTCTGCCACTTGTTATAATGGTATTTCTCATGCCATCACCGAACAACATAATGTTGTCATTGGTCTTGTCAATCTCAATGTTCTCTCTGTAAACTCCTCTCTTCACGTGAATGATGAATCTGCTCTTTATCCTTCTCCTTGCAGCGGCATTGATAGCAGCTTGGACACTCTTGAAATGCCCCGAACCATCTTTGGCCACCACCAGATGTGCCCTTATTGAAGAAGACTGCAACAGCTTCCTCTCGTGCATGGAAAACCAACTTGGAAAATCAGCCTCTGCATCTTCCGTATAATGAACCGCTTCGTACTTCAGGAAAGCCCAGTTCACGAATAAGCCATTGCTTATAATCTCGGTTACATTGCATCTCTCCGTGGGAACCATGAAATCTTCGACTCCGAGTTCTAGCGCCCCGTTCTGACATGTTTCGATGTTTGTGCGAGCCGTGCTGAGCCACGTCTGCGCATCAAAGGGTGAACAGCTTCTCTTCTCCCGAAGGCCGTCGAGGGTACGGTTAAGATGGAACACGGTGTTGTCGTAGAGCTTTAAACAATCACGGAATACTGATTTCTGCTTCTTGGCGATCCCGTTGTGCCCCAAGTCACGTGCTTTCCTTCTCATGATCACTGCTCTTTCCAACGCCAAGTGAACGAGAATTGCCCGGAATTCGGATCTGTGTTTGAGTTTGTGATGGTAATGGGTTTGTTGCATGTAGTATTTGCATGGCTCGGGGTATGGGGTTTGGCTGCACCACCAATCTATGTTGCTGTTGGAATGTCTCCTCGTTGATGTGGCTATTGAGAAAACTGAGGAAACTAATAACAGTGACAACAATGTCTTTCGCATCATTGTCATTCTGGTGGTGCTGTTTTTCTCTTTTCTTGTTTCGGGTGCCCGGCAATTATATATCCCTGTCTTCCATGCACCCTCGTAGTAGCTTAGAGTGGGAGTTTCTTAATCATGTGCGCAGTGCCGACCTTTTTCTTTTTATTTTTTTATGTTTGATGTTACAGTAGACGCGACGCGATCTTGATTTTCTTGATGGATACGGAATCACGTGCATTTAGAGAGTGTTACGGAGTGAGCACGTGGCATGTGTCGTCCCATGTTTCACGGTTTAAGGAATTGCTTATGGGCTTAGTGGAATTACTACTCATTGGATGATTTGCAATGGAAAAACACCAATTATAAGTGTCATTGCGCACTATTCTAGGAAGTTGAATGTCTTGCCACAGTCTCTTCGGCCTCACGCATAAGAAAATGAGAATAAATCATGTAAGACTCACCGAAATATGTGTTTATTTGGCTCTAAAGGGAGCCAAAAGTGCATACACAGCGTTGACAAATTTGTTTTTGCAAAGTCCCCACAATACTCCAACAGTATTGTGCTGTGCTGTTTGTATGCTTTCTTAAGTCTTACTGTTAAAAAAGGGACAACAGGTACTTGGCTTCAAATCAAAGCATAAGAGAAGAAAGAGATTATTTGTGAACGATGGCGTTATAGTTGTACATAGAAAAAATAAATAAGTTGCTTAAATGCTGGCAGGATTACTTATTTTGCGTACGGAAGAGTTGAGGGTAGCATGGAATATTTCAAACTGAGGCCACAGGTACCAATTCAGACTTCATTTTTTACTTTGACAATATCAATTGACTGCAGAACGACTTGCCCATAAATTGAGGGTCTCCATTTTCACCCCAAGAAGGCTTGTGCAGAGTCTGATTAAATATCAATTTTAGTAGTATGCACGTATCTTAATGCCATAGTCAATAAATATCATTGTTTTACTTCTCCTTGTGTGCAAGTTGCTGCAAGGATCAATTTATTGGATGGAGTGTTGGTTGATGAACAGACTTTTGTACAATCGTTTAAGCATGTCTTACTCAATTCCTTGCTTCAAAACATAAAATGTCAAACAATTTCCTATTTGTGGTGTTAGAAATAATTAAGTCCAGACAATACAATCCAGAAAGGCATGACAAAATCAACTTCTACGAATGGAAGAACTCATTTTTTTAATCTCTTGTTTTAGCCGCCAAGGTACTCAACCCAGTAATTACGTGTGGTGTGAAGTTGCACAGGTGAAAAGTAATGTGTTTTCTGGTATATGACGCTGGGGAGGAAGACAAAGCCAGGTTGAAATTTGATCAAGCACATTATGTGCTGGTGCTGTATACATCAAAGAATGTCTACTGTAATCGTATTTTGTGGGACAAAATGGAAACTGAATGAATCAAGCATCAAACGTTTCCGGTGACTAAAGAAAAACATAAGATTAGGATGTACAGCTGCCTAATAATCCAATCCTCTGTCAACCATCATCATTCTAACTCTCTCCATGTCCTCTAATCTGCCTGCATTTTCATAAATCCCCATAAGAAGTACAAAGTTATGCTCGTTGTCTGGCTCCAAATCAAAGAGCCTGTTTGCAGCAATCTCCCCTATAGTTGCGTCTCCATGCAAAAAGCAGGCATACAACAAAGCTCCCCAAAGAGTTGGACCTGCAGCCTCAAAGCCCATTCCATCCACTATGATGCTATAAGCCTTTTTAATTAGCCCTGCTCTTCCATAAAGGTTAACCATACAACCATAATGTTCCATAATTGGTTTTATTTTATATTTTTTGCACATTAGAGAAAACACTCTTTCTCCCTCCTTCACCAAGACTAAGTGGGCACAGGCTGATAATATCGACACAAACGTTATTTTATCAGGCTCAACACCAGCTTTCTCCATTTGCTGCAAAAAGGCAAGGGCTTCTCGGCGTTTGCAATGTGCAGATATTATAGAATTCCACGAAACAATATCCCTCTCTGGCATTAGATTGAATATCCAACATGCGATTTGTAACCTACCATGACTGGAGTACATCACCATCAAGGAATTAGCTATGGACAGGTTCCATTCAAGTCCTCGCCGAATCGCCCATCCATGAATTTGGACGCCTAGACATAGCGAAGACACACCTGTAAGAATGGTGGATATGCTAACAGAATCAGGTTCACACCCTTCCAAAACCATTTGGCGAAAAATGTTCACTGCCCCAATCTCAAGGCCATGATGAACATAAGCAGTGAGCATAGAATTCCACGAAATGGGGTCTCTATGAGGCATCTTGTCAAAGATCTTTCGCGCCTTTACAATGTCACCGCACTTCGAATACATGTCAACAAGTGCATTAAGCACAAACCCATCAGTGGCAAATCCAGCACGAACCAAATGGCGATGCACTTCTTCCCCCAGTCGAACAGATCCAATTCCAGCGCAAACTTTGAGAACTCTCGGGAAGGTGAAAAAGTCAGGTTCAACACCCTCTTCTACCATTTGGAAGTAGAGTGCAATGGCGTCGTCGTAGAGGCCCATTTGGGCATACCCTGAGATGAGCGAATTCCAGGGAAATGCAAATGTGTCCCTATTAGACATTTGATCAAACAGCTCATGGGCATCGTCCACATACCCACACGCCGCATACAACCTAAGAAGCTTGGAAGAGATGCCAAAATTTCTACGCAACAGGGATGTTGGGATAAGGCGGTGGAGTCGGATACCGGGACGAATGGCTTGCAAGCGATAGCAGATTTCTAATAAAGAGGCATATATTTCAGGGTCGATTCTGATGCCCTTCTCAAGAGAGTCTTCAAGGTTTGTAATAACTTGTTCAAGTGCTTCCAACTGGGTTTGGGGAGGAGGACGGCGATGGATAAGGAGTGGGGTTGATTTGGGTTTTGGGTAACGAAGAACGTTTCTTCTTTCTTGGCCTTCCAAGCGTCTCTCTTTCCAAGTTTTCTTTTCGTTGCTATTTTTGTTTTTATTTTTCTTCTGGGAGCACAAGCTCATGGCATTTGGAGGGAACCTTACCAGTATACTTATCATTCTAATTTCCTGGATCACAAATTGTGCATACAGACGTCATAATTACAATATATCTAACTAAGATATACACTGAGCTACTTTTTTCTGGTCCAATTTTGACTCACCTACATGTAAGAAAAAAGTGGGTTCATAATACTTACAAATTAGAAGATAAAGAGTAATGGCATGCACTGTCAGACGAGAATTATATATATCTTGCTGCAATTTGACAAGGTTTCTTGACCTGAGAAGCGCGACTTATAACAGTAACAACGAATTTCGTCTCATTATCATGTAGGATCGTTACTTAAATTATTGGAGGAGATTATGTTATGTCCAAAAGTATTAATTTTATCACTCAAACTCGGTATTTATAAGAGCACACTTGCTAGTATCACAGGCTATGTATATATATTAATCCCTGAGTAATTATCCCATATGCTAAACAGTCTAAACAATAATAAAGTTATATAATAGCCTTTAAAATATTAAGCATTCGTCAATTTAGTGTTTATTCATACATTTTACTGACATTTATAAGGATCATTTTGATGATATTTTTTAATACTCGATTATTATTAATATATTCAAACTTGTGCGAGATATACAATTCAATTTATTGTTACAAACATACGGTACTAAATCGCATAATCTGCGCTTTCTAAACAATTCCTATGTTGTTAGAAACAGTTTAGCACCAGGCGTATGCCTTTTTCTCGAGGGCATAACGCATAAGCTGTATATTGCCGGTTAGGCATTATAAGGAGGAAATAAAAAAAGGCAACAAGAACCATCTCCTGTGAATGGTGGACGTGTACATGTCAATTTGAAATACTTCAGGGGATGAGTTTAGAGCTACCAAATCCCACACGACAAGCCGCAAGACATTAGGACAGATCTTGTAGTCAACTGCTAACAATGTTGGGTTCTCACTAAATCCAAAATTTAGTCAACTTGACAGTGTTCTCAGCCAAATCAAACAGCTTTCATTTAGCCTCGAGCTGCATAGAGTCGTACAAGTCATTTGAGTTATTAAAAACAAAACACATTATTTCAATCCAGATAGAGAGAAGCCAAGGTGGACATGAGATTTAAAATTACATCTACACAACAAATATGGTGTTTTAGATTTCTCCTAGTTAAAAAGTTCAAACTGAATACCCATGGCTGTTTTTCTCCTAGTAAATGAATTTCAAATCCATTTACCAAAGAAATGTTAGTAAGCATGACCAAAAGAAGCAATTGTGTACGAGCATAATGCTTCCCAAGCATTTAACTAACGTTACAGAAATAGTGAGTAAACATATACCTCACAAGCCTCAAAAACTGGCCGAACTTGCTTAAATATTTCATCCGCTGTTCCCACTGCATTGATCTGCAGAGAGTAGTTTCTCATATAATTACGGTATAATTCATGCATGGTACAATGTAAAATTGAAACTAAAAACAGTGCGTTAAGCAAGACAGGCATATAATACTTTGGCCAGAGGCTGATTTTTTTTTTAAATAATTTCCATTACGCGTAAATGCTATCCTTATATAAATGATACAATGAAACAAGTGAATCCCAAGGCCAATCATCATTCAAGAAAAACCACGAAAGACTATACTGTGAAATTTCCCACTGAGAAGAACTAGTATCACACTTCGAAGGTAAGTAAATACAAGACCTCTAAAAATGGTAAACAGAAACCATTCAACTTTTGTGTAAGTTGTCAAGGTGCAAGTCTCTAAATAAGGCTAGTTCTCCTAGATCCAATTAAGCATTGAAACTAAATATAGTTACCCTGTAAAGTTTCCCCTTCTTCGCATAATAATCAATAACGGGAAGATTCAAAGCTTCAAACACTTTAAGACGATTCCTCATTGTATCTATATTGTCATCAACTCGACCCTGCAATAAAAATATGTAAGACAGCAGAGTACGTAATAAGCTGCTGAAGTTAAATCCCCACAGATTTAACGGGAACCTCATTACGGCTAAGCACACGTTTCACCATCTCTTCTTCAGGGCAATCAAAGAAAAGTACAAACCGTGGTTCTGCTCCAATCTGCATAATGAAGAGTGTGTTTATTTAGTCAAAAGAATTGACACGGGATTACTATTTTGTTCTAATACCCTCGAATACAGTTTACTACCATGACAATTTGCTTTGTTCATCCATAGATGTTGCAGTTGAAAACATGTTCCATGCACACAATATGAGGCAAATTTATAGTAAATTAAATGCANTGTTTTCTGGTATATGACGCTGGGGAGGAAGACAAAGCCAGGTTGAAATTTGATCAAGCACATTATGTGCTGGTGCTGTATACATCAAAGAATGTCTACTGTAATCGTATTTTGTGGGACAAAATGGAAACTGAATGAATCAAGCATCAAACGTTTCCGGTGACTAAAGAAAAACATAAGATTAGGATGTACAGCTGCCTAATAATCCAATCCTCTGTCAACCATCATCATTCTAACTCTCTCCATGTCCTCTAATCTGCCTGCATTTTCATAAATCCCCATAAGAAGTACAAAGTTATGCTCGTTGTCTGGCTCCAAATCAAAGAGCCTGTTTGCAGCAATCTCCCCTATAGTTGCGTCTCCATGCAAAAAGCAGGCATACAACAAAGCTCCCCAAAGAGTTGGACCTGCAGCCTCAAAGCCCATTCCATCCACTATGATGCTATAAGCCTTTTTAATTAGCCCTGCTCTTCCATAAAGGTTAACCATACAACCATAATGTTCCATAATTGGTTTTATTTTATATTTTTTGCACATTAGAGAAAACACTCTCTCTCCCTCCTTCACCAAGACTAAGTGGGCACAGGCTGATAATATCGACACAAACGTTATTTTATCAGGCTCAACACCAGCTTTCTCCATTTGCTGCAAAAAGGCAAGGGCTTCTCGGCGTTTGCAATGTGCAGATATTATAGAATTCCACGAAACAATATCCCTCTCTGGCATTAGATTGAATATCCAACATGCGATTTGTAACCTACCATGACTGGAGTACATCACCATCAAGGAATTAGCTATGGACAGGTTCCATTCAAGTCCTCGCCGAATCGCCCATCCATGAATTTGGACGCCTAGACATAGCGAAGACACACCTGTAAGAATGGTGGATATGCTAACAGAATCAGGTTCACACCCTTCCAAAACCATTTGGCGAAAAATGTTCACTGCCCCAATCTCAAGGCCATGATGAACATAAGCAGTGAGCATAGAATTCCACGAAATGGGGTCTCTATGAGGCATCTTGTCAAAGATCTTTCGCGCCTTTACAATGTCACCGCACTTCGAATACATGTCAACAAGTGCATTAAGCACAAACCCATCAGTGGCAAATCCAGCACGAACCAAATGGCGATGCACTTCTTCCCCCAGTCGAACAGATCCAATTCCAGCGCAAACTTTGAGAACTCTCGGGAAGGTGAAAAAGTCAGGTTCAACACCCTCTTCTACCATTTGGAAGTAGAGTGCAATGGCGTCGTCGTAGAGGCCCATTTGGGCATACCCTGAGATGAGCGAATTCCAGGGAAATGCAAATGTGTCCCTATTAGACATTTGATCAAACAGCTCATGGGCATCGTCCACATACCCACACGCCGCATACAACCTAAGAAGCTTGGAAGAGATGCCAAAATTTCTACGCAACAGGGATGTTGGGATAAGGCGGTGGAGTCGGATACCGGGACGAATGGCTTGCAAGCGATAGCAGATTTCTAATAAAGAGGCATATATTTCAGGGTCGATTCTGATGCCCTTCTCAAGAGAGTCTTCAAGGTTTGTAATAACTTGTTCAAGTGCTTCCAACTGGGTTTGGGGAGGAGGACGGCGATGGATAAGGAGTGGGGTTGATTTGGGTTTTGGGTAACGAAGAACGTTTCTTCTTTCTTGGCCTTCCAAGCGTCTCTCTTTCCAAGTTTTCTTTTCGTTGCTATTTTTGTTTTTATTTTTCTTCTGGGAGCACAAGCTCATGGCATTTGGAGGGAACCTTACCAGTATACTTATCATTCTAATTTCCTGGATCACAAATTGTGCATACAGACGTCATAATTACAATATATCTAACGAAGATATACACTGAGCTACTTTTTTCTGGTCCAATTTTGACTCACCTACATGTAAGAAAAAAGTGGGTTCATAATACTTACAAATTAGAAGATAAAGAGTAATGGCATGCACTGTCAGACGAGAATTATATATATCTTGGTGCAATTTGACAAGGTTTCTTGACCTGAGAAGCGCGACTTATAACAGTAACAACGAATTTCGTCTCATTATCATGTAGGATCGTTACTTAAATTATTGGAGGAGATTATGTTATGTCCAAAAGTATTAATTTTATCACTCAAACTCGGTATTTATAAGAGCACACTTGCTAGTATCACAGGCTATGTATATATATTAATCCCTGAGTAATTATCCCATATGCTAAACAGTCTAAACAATAATAAAGTTATATAATAGCCTTTAAAATATTAAGCATTCGTCAATTTAGTGTTTATTCATACATTTTACTGACATTTATAAGGATCATTTTGATGATATTTTTTAATACTCGATTATTATTAATATATTCAAACTTGTGCGAGATATACAATTCAATTTATTGTTACAAACATACGGTACTAAATCGCATAATCTGCGCTTTCTAAACAATTCCTATGTTGTTAGAAACAGTTTAGCACCAGGCGTATGCCTTTTTCTCGAGGGCATAACGCATAAGCTGTATATTGCCGGTTAGGCATTATAAGGAGGAAATAAAAAAAGGCAACAAGAACCATCTCCTGTGAATGGTGGACGTGTACATGTCAATTTGAAATACTTCAGGGGATGAGTTTAGAGCTACCAAATCCCACACGACAAGCCGCAAGACATTAGGACAGATCTTGTAGTCAACTGCTAACAATGTTGGGTTCTCACTAAATCCAAAATTTAGTCAACTTGACAGTGTTCTCAGCCAAATCAAACAGCTTTCATTTAGCCTCGAGCTGCATAGAGTCGTACAAGTCATTTGAGTTATTAAAAACAAAACACATTATTTCAATCCAGATAGAGAGAAGCCAAGGTGGACATGAGATTTAAAATTACATCTACACAACAAATATGGTGTTTTAGATTTCTCCTAGTTAAAAAGTTCAAACTGAATACCCATGGCTGTTTTTCTCCTAGTAAATGAATTTCAAATCCATTTACCAAAGAAATGTTAGTAAGCATGACCAAAAGAAGCAATTGTGTACGAGCATAATGCTTCCCAAGCATTTAACTAACGTTACAGAAATAGTGAGTAAACATATACCTCACAAGCCTCAAAAACTGGCCGAACTTGCTTAAATATTTCATCCGCTGTTCCCACTGCATTGATCTGCAGAGAGTAGTTTCTCATATAATTACGGTATAATTCATGCATGGTACAATGTAAAATTGAAACTAAAAACAGTGCGTTAAGCAAGACAGGCATATAATACTTTGGCCAGAGGCTGATTTTTTTTTTAAATAATTTCCATTACGCGTAAATTCTATCCTTATATAAATGATACAATGAAACAAGTGAATCCCAAGGCCAATCATCATTCAAGAAAAACCACGAAAGACTATACTGTGAAATTTCCCACTGAGAAGAACTAGTATCACACTTCGAAGGTAAGTAAATACAAGACCTCTAAAAATGGTAAACAGAAACCATTCAACTTTTGTGTAAGTTGTCAATGTGCAAGTCTCTAAATAAGGCTAGTTCTCCTAGATCCAATTAAGCATTGAAACTAAATATAGTTACCCTGTAAAGTTTCCCCTTCTTCGCATAATAATCAATAACGGGAAGATTCAAAGCTTCAAACACTTTAAGACGATTCCTCATTGTATCTATATTGTCATCAACTCGACCCTGCAATAAAAATATGTAAGACAGCAGAGTACGTAATAAGCTGCTGAAGTTAAATCCCCACAGATTTAACGGGAACCTCATTACGGCTAAGCACACGTTTCACCATCTCTTCTTCAGGGCAATCAAAGAAAAGTACAAACCGTGGTTCTGCTCCAATCTGCATAATGAAGAGTGTGTTTATTTAGTCAAAAGAATTGACACGGGATTACTATTTTGTTCTAATACCCTCGAATACAGTTTACTACCATGACAATTTGCTTTGTTCATCCATAGATGTTGCAGTTGAAAACATGTTCCATGCACACAATATGAGGCAAATTTATAGTAAATTAAATGCATGGATATACGAGATTTGGTGTACAAATAGCTCAATATTATATCAATTTATCATTAGAAAGAAGACGTGGAAAGAGGGGGGACTAAACTTCCTTCAGCTCAAATTGAAGAGAAGGTTAAAAGTCATACTTACAATTTTTTCAAAAGCTATACGGTTCTCCTCGCTTCTAGGGAAACCATCAATAAGAAACTTCCGGTTGTCACTAGATTTCATCTCTCTTAAAATCAATTTGACAGTAACTTCTGATGGAACAATTTTTCCTTCCTTAATTGTATTCAGAATCATTGAGCTGTTTTGGTGTTTTTAATGTAAAAATCCCAAAGACGCACCAACAAAACAAAANGAAGCTTGGAAGAGATGCCAAAATTTCTACGCAACAGGGATGTTGGGATAAGGCGGTGGAGTCGGATACCGGGACGAATGGCTTGCAAGCGATAGCAGATTTCTAATAAAGAGGCATATATTTCAGGGTCGATTCTGATGCCCTTCTCAAGAGAGTCTTCAAGGTTTGTAATAACTTGTTCAAGTGCTTCCAACTGGGTTTGGGGAGGAGGACGGCGATGGATAAGGAGTGGGGTTGATTTGGGTTTTGGGTAACGAAGAACGTTTCTTCTTTCTTGGCCTTCCAAGCGTCTCTCTTTCCAAGTTTTCTTTTCGTTGCTATTTTTGTTTTTATTTTTCTTCTGGGAGCACAAGCTCATGGCATTTGGAGGGAACCTTACCAGTATACTTATCATTCTAATTTCCTGGATCACAAATTGTGCATACAGACGTCATAATTACAATATATCTAACGAAGATATACACTGAGCTACTTTTTTCTGGTCCAATTTTGACTCACCTACATGTAAGAAAAAAGTGGGTTCATAATACTTACAAATTAGAAGATAAAGAGTAATGGCATGCACTGTCAGACGAGAATTATATATATCTTGGTGCAATTTGACAAGGTTTCTTGACCTGAGAAGCGCGACTTATAACAGTAACAACGAATTTCGTCTCATTATCATGTAGGATCGTTACTTAAATTATTGGAGGAGATTATGTTATGTCCAAAAGTATTAATTTTATCACTCAAACTCGGTATTTATAAGAGCACACTTGCTAGTATCACAGGCTATGTATATATATTAATCCCTGAGTAATTATCCCATATGCTAAACAGTCTAAACAATAATAAAGTTATATAATAGCCTTTAAAATATTAAGCATTCGTCAATTTAGTGTTTATTCATACATTTTACTGACATTTATAAGGATCATTTTGATGATATTTTTTAATACTCGATTATTATTAATATATTCAAACTTGTGCGAGATATACAATTCAATTTATTGTTACAAACATACGGTACTAAATCGCATAATCTGCGCTTTCTAAACAATTCCTATGTTGTTAGAAACAGTTTAGCACCAGGCGTATGCCTTTTTCTCGAGGGCATAACGCATAAGCTGTATATTGCCGGTTAGGCATTATAAGGAGGAAATAAAAAAAGGCAACAAGAACCATCTCCTGTGAATGGTGGACGTGTACATGTCAATTTGAAATACTTCAGGGGATGAGTTTAGAGCTACCAAATCCCACACGACAAGCCGCAAGACATTAGGACAGATCTTGTAGTCAACTGCTAACAATGTTGGGTTCTCACTAAATCCAAAATTTAGTCAACTTGACAGTGTTCTCAGCCAAATCAAACAGCTTTCATTTAGCCTCGAGCTGCATAGAGTCGTACAAGTCATTTGAGTTATTAAAAACAAAACACATTATTTCAATCCAGATAGAGAGAAGCCAAGGTGGACATGAGATTTAAAATTACATCTACACAACAAATATGGTGTTTTAGATTTCTCCTAGTTAAAAAGTTCAAACTGAATACCCATGGCTGTTTTTCTCCTAGTAAATGAATTTCAAATCCATTTACCAAAGAAATGTTAGTAAGCATGACCAAAAGAAGCAATTGTGTACGAGCATAATGCTTCCCAAGCATTTAACTAACGTTACAGAAATAGTGAGTAAACATATACCTCACAAGCCTCAAAAACTGGCCGAACTTGCTTAAATATTTCATCCGCTGTTCCCACTGCATTGATCTGCAGAGAGTAGTTTCTCATATAATTACGGTATAATTCATGCATGGTACAATGTAAAATTGAAACTAAAAACAGTGCGTTAAGCAAGACAGGCATATAATACTTTGGCCAGAGGCTGATTTTTTTTTTAAATAATTTCCATTACGCGTAAATGCTATCCTTATATAAATGATACAATGAAACAAGTGAATCCCAAGGCCAATCATCATTCAAGAAAAACCACGAAAGACTATACTGTGAAATTTCCCACTGAGAAGAACTAGTATCACACTTCGAAGGTAAGTAAATACAAGACCTCTAAAAATGGTAAACAGAAACCATTCAACTTTTGTGTAAGTTGTCAAGGTGCAAGTCTCTAAATAAGGCTAGTTCTCCTAGATCCAATTAAGCATTGAAACTAAATATAGTTACCCTGTAAAGTTTCCCCTTCTTCGCATAATAATCAATAACGGGAAGATTCAAAGCTTCAAACACTTTAAGACGATTCCTCATTGTATCTATATTGTCATCAACTCGACCCTGCAATAAAAATATGTAAGACAGCAGAGTACGTAATAAGCTGCTGAAGTTAAATCCCCACAGATTTAACGGGAACCTCATTACGGCTAAGCACACGTTTCACCATCTCTTCTTCAGGGCAATCAAAGAAAAGTACAAACCGTGGTTCTGCTCCAATCTGCATAATGAAGAGTGTGTTTATTTAGTCAAAAGAATTGACACGGGATTACTATTTTGTTCTAATACCCTCGAATACAGTTTACTACCATGACAATTTGCTTTGTTCATCCATAGATGTTGCAGTTGAAAACATGTTCCATGCACACAATATGAGGCAAATTTATAGTAAATTAAATGCATGGATATACGAGATTTGGTGTACAAATAGCTCAATATTATATCAATTTATCATTAGAAAGAAGACGTGGAAAGAGGGGGGACTAAACTTCCTTCAGCTCAAATTGAAGAGAAGGTTAAAAGTCATACTTACAATTTGTTCAAAAGCTATACGGTTCTCCTCGCTTCTAGGGAAACCATCAATAAGAAACTTCCGGTTGTCACTAGATTTCATCTCTCTTAAAATCAATTTGACAGTAACTTCTGATGGAACAATTTTTCCTTCCTTAATTGTATTCAGAATCATTGAGCTGTTTTGGTGTTTTTAATGTAAAAATCCCAAAGACGCACCAACAAAACAAAAACAAAAACAAAATTAGGATAAAACATCACGCATATTCCCTATCAGAAATAAATTTCCTTCATTCATTGTATTCAGAATCATAGCTATTTTGGAGTTCTTAATGTTAAAATCCCCAAGATGCACCAACAAAACAAAAACAAAATTAGGATAAGGCAGCATCACCCATATTTACTATCAGAACTCATCTCCCTTCTCAAAAGGTCTCCAGCACTCAGATGCTTATATCCAAAGGTTTCAACAATTTTTGCACATTGCGTACCTTTTCCACTACCAGGACCTCCTGAGGCAAACCCCAAAAAGTAAAAAGGCATGGCATCATTAATAACTTGATGCATTTCATTAAATACATTATATCAGTTTACGAAAGCAATAGAGCCCAAACAGTTTTACTCAGGTTCATAACATGGGAAAAACAAATAAAAAAACATAATAGTTTAGATTCTCAACTTGGAAATAACAGTATGCAATTTCCGGCAAAACTATATATATATTCTATCGAAGTATATGTGGTGTTTTAAGGTTCAGATTCACATATTCTATAATTGACGGAGCCGTTTAGGTAAATACAGTTTTGTTTCAAGCTTCAAGATGGGCCAATGTCTAGATAGATCATTGAAACAATCGATCAGGCAATTAGTTAAAACAATTTCAATTTTTTTAAGAAATTTGCCTGCAATTCTTCCACTTACTTTGGACCATTAATAAGCTTTTCAGAATAATAGAGACAAACTGGACGTCAAAACATCCCAAATACCTCAGTTCCAATACTAACATGCATAAACTAAACTTCAGTTACACGATCAACATGCATGAACTAAACTTCTATATCTGAGTGTTGAGATTCCACAAAACCGTACAACATGAGACTTATCAACCTCACCGGAGTACCTTCCACTGTTAAATATGAATACAAGCCATCCATATAACCACGGAAACACGAGATATGCAGAGAAGCGCGGAATTAAAACGTTGAGGCATTCACAAAATCAGTATTTAGTTATCACCTCGATTATCGCAGATGTGATGGCATAAGACTTACATAATGATCTGAAATCAATTAAGTGAACAATTTAACAAATGTATGATTACCTAAAACAAAAGTTATAACTGTAGCTACTTGTTTGGGAGAAATCCCACCCGTTTCCTGCACAGTGATGTTATATATAGAAAGAGAGAGAGAAGAAAAAGGAGTCAGAGGAAATTGCTGATGGCAGAACTGTTGGCTGTAATGTATATGTGTGTAAGAAAATCAATGAACCCTAAAAGTAGAAGAGTTTGAGAGGGAGAGGAAGAGTTGTGGATTAAATACCTGGAAGGGCGAGTGGAAGGGAAATCCAGTGGTGAATCTTTGAGAAAGCGAAGCGTCGTGTTTAGGAAGTTGCTGGAGTGGAGAGTGACATCCAAATCAAATCAAAATCCAAACAAAATAATTGAGTGTGAGAATATGAATATGTGATTGATTACCAGCAGCAGAGGAAGAAAACGGGATGATTTGGTTGCGAGTTTCCACATTTGTGTTTCTGATTTTGAATTCCAGTATTATTGAGGTGAGTGAGATGAGGGTTTCTTAAACGATGCTTTGAGTTTGAAGGTTACGTTACGGTTGTGTTAAGGTGCGTGCTCGATGAAGGACAGAGGAGACACAACACACATGGGAATGGACACAACACCGCTTTCCCTCGCCTCCCCTCTCGTTTTCCTTCTTTTTAATTAACTCCTAATATTATTATTTCTTATTTTTTAATAATAATCTACAACAATATATAATATCAAAATTTCCACATTTCATATAACATTACTTCAAACTTTAGCTTAAGTGTCCCAAAAATTACTCTCACATTGTAATACAACTTTGCTCAATGATCTGTTATGTGAGTACGACAACTCTAGATTTAGGACAGCAGGTGGAGCCAAAGAACAGAACCTTGTTCTGTTTGATTATTTTTGTACCAGGAAAAAGGCCGAAGCTATATGTAGACATTAATATTAGGCAATTCCTTCCTGCACCCTTTTATTTTCTTCCTACACCTTGTCATTTCTCGAATTTATTTTTCTGAACAAAATAAACAATTCCGGAAGATCTTAAGTCGCATTAGCAAATGCGCACAATTTGGTGGTGTGTACGTGAAGAATGATCTTCTATGACTAATTTCCCCAATACAAACACGTCTCCAAATGTTTTTATTTATAAGGATAACATACTTTGCCAATATTTTTTTGACAACATTTTAACAACATTTACGTGTCATTTTGTAATTGGTCTAAAATTACTTCACAATCAATAATAATAATCATAAACACCAACATGGACCAATCACAGAATGACACGTAAACGGTGTTAAAATGTTGTTAAACACCAACATGGACCAATAACAGAATGACAGGTAAACGGTGTTAAAATGTTGTTAAAGTATCATTATCCTATTTCTAATAGCCAACTCAACTTATTTCTACTAATATTTTTTTCTTTTATGATTCATTATTTTGGAAAGTGTTAGAAATTTTAAATTGAATAAAGAGTAAGTGATTTCACAGTATATAACTAGTTGCAAATTTCAACTTATAAATTAATTTTATTGAATTAAACTTAAAATTTATTTTTTAATATAATATTAGAACCATCTAAATTATTTTAACAAATTTATTATTTATTGAACTTATCATATTATCTATTATCATATATTACTATAAAACTATCATTAATATATAATCCATAATAAGTAGAAATCAATTTTAAAAAGATTGTGTTGAATTTAAAATTGTAAAATAGAACTAACTATTATTACATTTAATTATTCATTTAGTTCCTATAATTATACAAATTAAACTTTTTTATTTCAAGCCTAAAATTTCTCTATTTAAAATTTTATACATAATCTTTATTTTTTACTTTATATAAATATATTATTTTATATTTTTTAGTCTTTATCATATTATTTGAAAGAAATTGGAAATTGAAAGGAATAATTCTGTAATAAAATTTATTTTAGAAAGCAAATAAATATGGTAAATAACGTATTGTAGAGCAAAGCTGTTGATCAATTCATAAGAAAAAAGTGCAAAAGTTAATAGAGAGGATAGGAGGAATAAATAAAAGGTAGAAAAAAGAAACAGTAAATGTGGTGTGATGATAAAAAAAAAAAAGAGATAAAAATATATTAGGCAAAGAAAATGAAATACATTCATTAATTAATTACACACAATTTTAAGGTCAACGTTTCTGTATTGGGTAACAAGAGACTATTTACTGAGGCAAAAAGATAAAAGAATACAAGGACTCTCGATCTATCAAATCCTAAAATAAATAAGTAATTGTCAGTCTAAACTGAAAGTGAGAAAGAACAAGAAAAACCGACTACCGGATCACGTCGCATTGCATCTAAAATCATATGAATACAGTGGTGATAGATACACGACAATAGAGTGAGTACTAAACATGCCCATCCTTTTTTACTCTGCAAATCCAACTGTTTGGACAAACTTATAATCCTCATTGGCATTGTTCATGAAATCATAATTATCTGAATCCCTGGAGTCATTGAGTTGATTCCCTGGTGTTCCTAACCACCAAATCATAATTCATAGAAGCCAGCTGAGACAAATTCTGTAAGAAAACAAAGCAATGAAAGAACTTTCTTTAACCCACATGGAAAAGCACAAAATTAGCTTTATATGATATTCGGCCAAAAGTAATGTGATGTGACAATCTAGCTAATTATTTTGCTGTTCATCAATGTTTAACTCTAGTGCAAAATAAGGAACTATATGGAGAAAAAAGAAGATCAGGTATGGCTAGTATTACCTTAAACGAGAAATTACTAAACGAGTACTGCGGCAATTCAACAAGAGCATGAGTACCGAACTCTGTTAAACTACCACACTCATCACCCTGCGTTAACAAGTTCCAGGCATAGTTAGAAAAAATATGGTAAAACAAGGCTGCTAGAAAAGTATAATAGATAAAATTACTGTTACACAACATATTAGAAATTTAATTTAAATTAGTTTAAGAGGCAAACAAATTGTATGGACTGCTTAACTAATCCAAATTCGTATTTTATTTTATGATGAAACAAATGGAAACATCTCATCTATTTAAAATCTAGCAACCATTTGAAGTACGTAGATAAAGTAAGCATCTGTAGTGAAAGTAGAAAGTATTCTTACATCTTCGTCTAACACAGCGCTGCCGGAACCACTGCTACCGGAACCACTAATCTCATCAAAATCACTACCTCCGAGACAGTGTTCGTCCTCGGGATTCCAAATGTACCGGCTCATAAAATAACTTGTATCATGACCTTCAGCCGATGGAATAAACATAGCCTGAAGAAAATCAAAAGTAGATCCCGGTTGACACAACAAAAGATACGGCACAAACATATCAAAGTTCTTGTAGAATTAGAAAGAACCTTCTGCCTTGCTAGTGTATCCCAATTAATATCTTTGAAGAAGGCGTGGCGCTTAACCTGCCAGAAAAAGTGTATTTATGGTTGTTTTTACCGTAATTTGCAACTTCAAAGTACTTAGGAGTGAATAACTCACTTCTGTAGCCCCTGTCGCGCCTAATCTTTGGACTGGGTTTTCGTTCAATAATCTAGAAGAGATTAAATACACTGTCAGCCATAATCAACATGAAAGGAATCCCAACATTCCAAAGTGAAAATGGACAACTTTTTCCAACTATTGCATAAATCGTTTCCAGGTATCATATATAAAAGTAAAACACAAGAAAAAAGAATGTCTATCTTGTTTCGATAATAGCATGGTCACTCAAACTGATCTTGCTTATCCTGCCAGATTATGTGAATTTTGAAAGCCGTACTTCTTCCATATATGTTTTGGCTTGTAACACGTGTTTTACACGATTTGGTCCATGTGCAAGTTTCATGCAGGGATATTTTTCATTTGTAAGTTGATTAGCTTTAAAGAAACTTTGCGTAGCATACCCAAAAAATTTACCATACAAACTATTTTCAGTAAACATGCTAAACACTGTAAAACAATTAATACCCATAATGTTTACTGTGTTCATAATATTTCGAAGTTTACACTGATACGCCATTTTTTCCTTATCACCAAAAAATTCAATACAAATCATTCTTCACTGGGATTTTTTTTTTGGGCTGGGACATAATGTGGTAAATACGTATAGA